CATGTTGAGTACATGCATCTGTTGTTATCTGGTAGTGATGTATGTGCTGAAACATGCTGAGCTCAAGACTTTGTTTGGTAGGGAGCGTGTTAGTTGCTAGAGGAATCACCGGAGTAGACTGCCATCAAGGAGAAGGGTGGCGTGTGGCTGGGCGTCTCTCGTGGCTGGTAGGGAGCTTGAGAGCGAGAGGAGAGGCAGCCCTAGTAGGCCTCCTTGGGGCGTGGGCATCCTTCGGGTGAAGCATGCCGAGGAGCTAATGAGTGTCGGGGCGTTCTCTCCTCGTGCAAACTAAGAGGGGTATTTGGGCCGAGTTCGTGCAGGTTGAGGACGCCCCATACAGGCTAAAGAAACGAATGATCGATTTGTTTGTGGTCGTGTTTCGCATGCGCGAGGGCCTCCATTGCTTCCTCTGGCGTTTTCTTCTTTGCCTCGACGGGACCCCGGGTAGTAGGTCATGGTTGACTTCACCTTCGGTGCTCGTGAGCCCCCTCCCGCTCCCCTCTGATTTGTGTTGTCCACCTCCTTGCCTTCCTTCTATGGCGCGGGCCGCCGTTGGTGGTTTGGTCCCGGCGATGCTTGAGCTGCAGTTGCTATTATCGTCGTCATAGTAGTCGTGTTTGGGTTGGTGATTGGTTGTTGTTCAAGATCTTGCAGTGGATGTCTCGCTTTTCATGCCTTGTGCTATACTGCTATTCATTTGCTCCAGTCTAGGCTGTCTTGGGTTGTCGTGTTGTTTTGGGTCGCGCGTCTTAGACAATGTAAGGGTGGTGAATTGCTTGGGTAGCGTCATTTTATGGAGATGATGTAATGATCGTGCCGTCTTCAGCGCTGCACTCATTCTTATCACATGGATGCAACTCTTCTGCATGATTTCTATTCCAAAAGAACTCGAGAAAGAATTGTCAGATACATATAAAAAACCCTAAGAATCGACATCGAGAAGGCATAAAGCTGCTCCCGTCCGTGCGAATTGCGATCAACATAGAGAGAAGCCATGATTCTCTCATGCATGGCTGTCAGCAAAAGAAGCGATGCTATATTCTCCCATGCATGTGGTAGTGCCCTTTTCTCTCGTGCAGACGGTACCCGCAGAAATTAACTACGCCAACCTTCCGAAAGAAGCTAATCTAGTCGAGCTCCGCATAGCTGCGCTGCTGTGAGGAATCTCTCGACGCTTTGCTGCACGGGATCCTCCCGGCTAGATCTACTAACCAGCTGCAAGAAGTACTACTTCCTCCGTTCCTAAATACTTGTCTTTCTAAGCATTTCAACAAATGGCTACATATGGAGTACTAGCTAGTAGTAGCAGTATATCTTTCTCCGGGCTAGCTAATGGCAAGCTGGATTCGGGACCGGACCATTGACAGCAACCGGAGGGGCGTTGTGGATCCATCGTGCGCGGTATATTCCTGCTGCCTTCGCCGTCTTTGACCTCGCCGCCACCACAGGCTTCGCCGAATCACTTGGCCAGTGTCCATCGCTGTCCTGCGTCCGCTCGTGGTCTGACCGTACTAAAACGGTGAGCTTTTCTTTTTATAGCGAGCTTCTCACTCTCAGCCGCCGGTGTCATGCTCTCTCATGTTATTCTTTTGACATGTCGTACTCACTCTCTCATGTTACTTCAAAAGAAAGTACGCGCCGGCGGCTGGCACTTGTTTCTTTTTTTTTTGAGCGGAGGCGGCTGGCACTAGCAGGAGTATAGAACGATGTAACATGTCGAGCACCTATCGGGCGAGGGCTGTGGGGTGCACGCGGCCCTAGCTCGTGGGGCTATGAGCTGCCTCGCAAACTAGGGGAGTGTGAATCTCTCAAGATCCCTGGTCTTATCTTTTATAAACCAAACTAATGAATAAACAAGAAACTAAAAGATTCAGTTGAAAGATCTAAATAAGATACCTTCAAGCACTCACCTCTCTGGCAACGACGACAAAAATAGCTGGATGTCTGCTATGTAATTTTATTCTTGCAGACTTGGTTGGGCTTCAAAACGGAGAGTTTTGTAGAACAACAGCAGATTAACTTCAAGTGGATGACATAAGATTTATCACTCCGCGAGAGGTGTAGGCTGAAGATGGTCTCTCTCAAACACCACTGCAATCAAATACAAAGAGTCTCTTGTGTCCCCAACACACCCAATACAATTGTCGGCTGTATAGGTGCACTAGTATTATATTAAAACTTATGCTTTGTCTCAAATAAAAAAACTAAAACTTCTGCTCGTTTATGGGATTTTTTCTTTGCCGTCTGCAAGGTGGAATAGCGGGGAGCAATTTCTCAGATTCGACAGGCTGATCTGTCAGGGAATCATCCCTTCGCGAGGGGAAAATGGAAGGTATTGTCATCACCTACCCTTCGATCATCATTAGGATCTCATCTTCATCAACATTGTCATCCATCTCCAACTCTAGCCTTCAGTCTATGAACTACTACCTCAGATCCTTTGTTGAAATTACCTTTTGGTGTTGAATGTTGATTACTGCTTGCAGTAGCTGGTTAAAAGTTTATTGATGAAATATTCATATATTCAGATTGTTATTCATATTATCGTCTTACTGATTATGATATGTATGATGGCTTGTGAGTAGTCTGTTATGTTCTTAAGGACATGTGATAAACATTGTTACTAGTAATCATGTGAAGTTGAATAAAGTTCAATGTCTTGATATTATATTCTGGTGTAATTCTCTAATGGTGGTGTGCGAACGTCAAACTCATATCACTTCTCTAATGATGGATGTTTGGAGTGACAAATATTACTAAGCCCTAAGTTTATGATGTGTTACATAATGGTTGTTTGGAACCCAGATGTTATCTTAATTACTCTTTTGTATTTGCACATGATTGCATAGAGGGTATAATCATAAGTATGTTGTCCAGGGGTCCCTGCACCATGACAGCGTTAGCCGAGGTGTTGGGGACCGCCGGTGGCCGTGGTTGAGCCTCACTGATAACGAGCTCGGTGGACGACCCTAGCTATAAAGCCAGATCAGCCGTAGTGGATGGAGGCGGCGGAAGATTTGGCCCTTCTGTTCGTCGAACCTAGGAATTTCCTTCCCCAGCATTCTCTCCGGTCCCGGCATCAACCTCCGGAGACACGAGTCTGGTCTTGGCCGCCTGCGTCGGGTTGGGATGGCCGGCTTCTCCAGCGTCATCCTCCTCCGTACCCGTGATAACTGAGATGAAGTCTAAAGGAGGTGGAGGAGCCTAAGCGACCGGCTTGGCTATCAAGGTCCTTGTGTCAGTACAGCGGGTGGTGTCGAGAGACACGTTGGATGTGTCTATAGGGGTGCTGGTCAGGTCGGCACCAAGATTGCACGACATTCTGCAACTCTGCATTACAAAACGCATTGAAAATGAATAAGGATTAAAGGCAATTGTAGTTGGTATTCAAATGTGAAAAATATTTATTGGTAGATGCAGGCTTGATGCGGATGTTTTGACTTGCAGGTGGCAATTCAGCTGCCTTTTTTAACAGACGAAGAGCTAGTTGGTTGGAGGAAGGTCAGGCACCCGGTCTTGGTGCACCTTTTGGCACTCCTCCTGCCCAAAATCCTCTGATGGGTCCTATTTGGTGACCCTAGAAACCGATGCCCCGTCATCTCAGTTGTGATTGACCAACTCGAAGGCATTGGGATCAACCTTGGTCTCACTGCTGGACTCCTCCATGGCCTCCTCATGGTCATTGTCAAGATCAACCATGATGATTGGCCCCTTGGCACGCATGGATGTCCTGGTGAGGTCCTCGGACCAAAGCCTACACCAATCCATCTAACTGGTCGCCTTCTGGTTGTGGGGCCGGGAGACAGACGTTGTCCACCCAAGAGCGATGAGGACGCAACAACAAACAAAGAGTCACTTCAAGTAACATTTAGTTTAAGAGACTGCACCGAGGGGAAAATATCATGTGCTATTAAGGTTTAGTTGATACCATGATATGAGCTCTTGGGAGCCGTTGGATCTCAGATCAAACGGCTTCCTGAAGCTCGTGAACATTTTGTAAAAATGTCATTCAAGAGTCTCAAAATTACGCGCAGGTACAACAACACCTCAGATGCCGCCGGATTTGAGATCCGACGCTCCAAAAGCACGTATCACGGTAGCATATGAAGACCGGTATCACCTGAAATCCCTGCACCGTAAGGTTTGGTTTAAGAGACTGCATGTTCTGTATCGGTCCGTGTATTGCTTTTCTTTTTTCTGAAGCACTTAGTTTCCCTAGTCAAATGTGCACGT